GTTTTTTTTTAAATGGAGATTACACCTGCACAACTGAATATTTTTAAATTTTAAATTATTAAATATAAAAAGTAGATCTTAGATATTCTAAATATCCAACGGAGAAGTTTATAACAATAACAATTACTACGGCACCGATGCGCTTACTCTACTCATATATACTGACCTACTTGGCATAAGATTTTTGATAATATTATGGCAAAATAATTGTGTTAAACATAATTATTATGTTGTAATTCAGGCTTTCATCGTTCTAGAATTTACTAATTTCTGGAATAAACAAAACTATTGTTTATATAATTTAAATACAAATCAAACGCTCATTCAATGTTTGCTTTACTTATGACGATATCGCTCTTAATTATAGTAATCAAAGGTTACTCAATTAGTTGGAAATCCGATTAGGGCTTAGTGGAAAATTCAAGGAAGCCCTTAAATAGATTTGCTTAAGTGTGTTTTAAATAGCTTCCACACTTCTAATCTCTTGATTGCGTCACGTGCACATCTTCCAAATTAAGTTATCTTAGTTCAAACGTTATCGTTCCGATCGCACGTGACCTATTATGCTGAACATAAGAAAAATTGTTACGCCACGAATATTAAATTCTGTACTTTTTTGCAGCTTAATGATAGAGACTTATTTGAGCTTAAGTCGTCTCAAGTTGGGTACCATACCATATAGATATAGATATTGTCATCATATACAAGGAGTTAAAAAAATTATTGTTTCGATGGTTCAAATTTAAAGGTGCGATTGATATCAAACGTCATTAAAAATTATATTTTCATTATCATTTCTTAGGAAAAGCAATTTGTCATCATATAATTTCTTTATAAAAATTAAACTTTTTTATACGACTATATTTTATTAAAATTAATAAGGTCAATAAAGAGACCAATTTGTACGTATAAGCCAAACCACGGTCACCGAGATGAAATTAGTAACATTAATAAACTGTTTCTCGGTGACATGCAGAACTCTGTGGCATTTATATTTAGAGGGAAAGTGTCTAATAAATAATAATAATAATAATAATAGTTATAAAAACATAAAATAACTTCCTTATACTAACTCCCCAACACTTTAAATGGCACCTAAGTATACAGTCTTCTTTCCCATAGATCTTTCATTACATCCTGAAAAGGACTGAGCTATGTATTTAATCAGTAAATAAATAAGCCCGTGTATTTATTTAATCAACTAAAAACATTCAAAATTAATCAGTTTATCAGAGCCGTCGATTTCTTTAAAGAATTTACCTTCTGAGTGGACAGCTGTCGCCTATTTGTTAAATTTTAAGTTAATTTAAAATTAATAATTTATTATTAAGGTCTCAAATTTATTTATGGGGCAGTTGATACTATCACAAATCGCTTTTGTAAGATATTATGACTCCTCCTCCATAATTTTTTATTCGATGACTTCACTGTGTCATACGATTTCCTTCTTGGTCTAAAAATAAATATTTGCAGTATTAGCTACAAAGAGAATTCGGTTGTTTATCAGTAAATAAATAACCCCATGTATTTATTTAATCAACTAGAAAACATTCAAAATTAATCAGTTTATCAGAGCCGTCGATTTTTTTAAAGAATTTACCTTCTGAGTGGACAACTGTCGCCTATTTGTTAAATTTTCAGTCAATTTAAAATGAATAATTTATTATTAAGGTCTCAAATTTATTTATGGGGCAGTTCATACTATCACAAATCGCTTTTGTAAGATATTATGACTCCTCCTCCATAATTTTTTATTCGATGACTTCACTGTGTCATACGATTTCCTTCTTGGTCTAAAAATAAATATCTGCAGTATTAGCTACAAAGAGAATTCGGTTGTTTATCAGTAAATAAATAACCCCATGTATTTATTTAATCAACTAGAAAACATTCAAATTTAATCAGTTTATCAGAGCCGTCGATTTTTTTAAAGAATTTACCTTCTGAGTGGACAACTGTCGCCTATTTATTAAATTTTAAGTCAATTTAAAATGAATAATTTATTATTAAGGTCTCAAATTTATTTATGGGGCAGTTCATACTATCACAAATCGCTTTTTTAAGATATTATGACTCCTCCTCCATAATTTTTTATTCGATGACTTCACTGTGTCATACGATTTCCTTCTTGGTCTAAAAATAAATATTTGCAGTATTAGCTACAAAGAGAATTCGGTTGTTTATCTTATTTTAAAGTAAAGTTGTATATAAAAATTTAAAAAACCGGAAGGGAGCTAGTTCGAGAAAGATTTTTATCTTGTTTGTTGTTTGTTTATTTAGGCTTTAAGGCGCAATATACTAAGGTCATCAACGCCTGTGAGTCGGTTATATTTGTAAACTCTTTAGAGAAGAAATAGAAAAAAAGAATGAACAATCAAAAATTAGTAATAGATAGATAGAGTAATAAATGAAAAAGATATTTAAAAACATATAAAACATGAAATATATTAAAATAATTTAAAAAAAAAAAGAAAGAACAAAAAACAAAAATTATATTTATTTTTATATTTTATTTAATAGTATATGGATTTTAAGAAATTTTATCACTGTTTTTATTCGTTGTTGCCTAATACTCTTGATATATCCGGTTTTAGAGATAGTCGATTTAGTCTTGAAGTATAATAAGTGCATTCTTGGAAAATATGATTGATTATGAGAGGGCTATCTATTACAGTGTGACAATTTGGTGGTGGCTGCTTAGTGATGAGATGTACATTTTTTTTTTTTTTTTATCTTGTTCTTCATAGGCAGATAAATACTGATAATGAAATTATAAAATTATTCGGAGTGATCTTTTTATAACTTTTTGCAAAATTAATTTAGACTTTATCACAACTTCCCAAACAATATTTATAGATTTAAATTAATACAATATGAAATTTAATTATTTTTAATATAAGGCTCTATCCTTATTAGTTCAGTTAAAAATTCTCCAAAGCTCTGTGCTAGGGAGGCGCTTAAAGTCAACTGTTGATACGAACACCCCGAAAGACCATATCAAACTTTGGAGCGATCCGTTAAAGTCCATGATATATCAAAGTTCTTTTCGGTGCCTGCGATGGATCTACTAACTCTTGCTGTGTTCAGACATCAATACAAATTTATCAAAAAACAAACATTAAATTTTTGGATTTATGCCTGGGTTTCAAGGCGTTCTACGTTACTGTACGCCGGTTTTTCGGTTTTAGCCAGTTTTCATTAATTTATACATTTGAAAAAATTAAATAATAATAATTTCCTGAAAACGATAAATGCATCTAGGTGTCTGAGATGGAAATAATAATCTTTCATAAGATTATTAAAAGATTGTGAAAAAGTACTCCATTTTATTTAAATATCCAGTTTTCACTGCAATCCAGTACTGGAGGGTTAGCAGCATCCGACCGGATATAAGGACCTCTTGATCACGTCGAGACGAATACCCGCTGAACCGGAAGATCAAGGTGGCTGTGGTAGGTTATGCCATCATAAAGAGCCTACATGAAACTTTAACTGACCATAACTCGGAGCAATAAAACCTCTCCGATGTTTAATATTGCTTGCCTCTTGCCCGTCCCCATCTTTCCGACAATAAACCAAATCCATTCAGTCTGTTGCATACAAACATTTAAAATAATCTAGTAGTATATCTGATTAATGAAATTGAAGTATTTATTTTATCGAGTATTAATACAGTCTGCCACACTGAAGGGCATTGGTACTAGAGCTACAGTATTCATTCACACAATATGTACATAAGAAAGGAAATAAATAAAAATAACCAAGTAAGGAAACACTCATTGGCACCTATGTACAATATTAACATTGACCCAGGGGACCCTGAATCCAGTTTTGTCTCCCAAATGTGGAAACCAAAGCAGGACTCCAGGAGATCCCAGCCGCGTCACTGGTATTATAAGCCAGTGGAAAGTGAATGAAATTAATTCTAAATCTCTATTATAAATGTTCTAGAGACAGATTGTAATATTTTTCAATAAATAAGTTTGAAAAAAAAATTCTAAATAATATAACTACATACATTTTTTACAATTTTCTCAAAATGAATCTAACGATATTGATTAAATTCGTTATATCAATGTAAATTCAAATGATTTTTAATATCAGGTGGATTTTATGTTCATTTAATAGTTCAACATTGCTTAAATAATGGAATTTTTGAAATTGTTTCTTCTTAAGTATCATTAATTTTGGTTATTTCAAAAATTAATAATTTTAACATTTAAATACAATAATTAAAGCCAGTGGAGATTAATCGAGAGCAACATACACTCATGTTATGATGATTAACGTTCAAAATCACCTAATTTATTATTAATATATATATATATATTTAATATCACAATTTTATTTTATAATTCGACCTATACATATTATGACTTAAGATATGAATTATAGTCGGAGAGTCGGTCATGAAATTAATAAAAAAGTTTGCGAAAATAAATAAAAGAATAGTAGTTGATCCACTGCCAGAGGTACCAACCACTGCGTTCCTAAATCTTACAGAAAAAACATACCAAAAAAAATACATAATATTTTAGTCTTAGGACCTAAATTTAATTATGAAGTAAAGAATAAAAATATCTTGAGTAGAATGCCAAATCTCCTGTCTGATGTCGAATATACTGTACAGACAGTAGAAAAAAAAGATAAAAAAAAAAAAAAGTTTCATGACCTATTATCTGTCTATAATTCATATCTTAACTATTCATATATTCATTTTCGAATTAAAAAATAAAATTGTATTAGTTGCACTGAAAGCTTCTTAAAAGCACGTTTTCCAATATTATTGCTGATTTTTTGAGTTATAACCTGGTTAGAGAAAACGAGCATAAGTTATTAGGTCACTTTCAAAAGGAATGCACATTTCTTCGGTAGATTATGTTGTAGAAGAGAAACAGAGATGAAATTTACTTAAACGGATTTTTAATGAAATCATAGATATATAATTTAAAAAATGAATTATTTATTAATTATAACGAATAATCAATAAATTATTAAAGATCCGAGGAATCCCCTGTATTGATGTCGTCAACACAGACATGCCGCAGGAGAGGCAAGAATTCGCTATAGAAATAATGATGAAAGCTGTTCGAAACGTCAGAATGTTTAGGGTAAGTATAATATGAAATTTTATAATATATAAAATTTAGTTTAACATGTTAATAACCATGTTAGCTGCTGTTAGTGCAAACAAATTAGTTGTGTGTATTTTTATAATATATATGTAATATATATATATATATATATATATATATATATTATATATATATATATATATATATATATATATATATATATATATATATATATATATATATATATATATGTATGTATTTTTTTTACAGAAGAGTATAAAACTGATTATTTCTTTAAGATTTATTAGTATAATTTCGAATTTCAATCTGCTTTTTCCGCACTAACCGCCTATTGCAGTTGCAAACTACAAAATTTCACCTTTAGTATAAATAAAATAAATATGTAAAATAGTGACATACGACCGTAGGAATATTTTCGTATGTGTTATATTATAACGGTTAAATAAATATCACTTTTTTTTAATAAAAGGAAATTAAATAAACTCATTTTCTATAAAACATTATTTTCTACGGAATATTATAATTCTTCTTAAACTAGAGAATTTTATAATTGAACTTATCATTTATCCGGAACGCCTGGGAAAATATTCAATTTTAGTATTTAGAAAACAGCCAATGCTGATAAGAAAAAATATTCAGATACATAATAGCATATCTTAAAATAGCTACTTATTTTTAGATAGAAAATTGAATCCAGTCACTAATTCACTATAAGCGGTATCGATCGAAACTGTTATAGCTCCTTAATTAGTTTTCCCCTTCTGATCTAGGCATCTATTTACTATAACACTGAGAATGCAATAAAGTTAAATAATATCAGATTAGATAATAGAAAAAAATAAATTTTACAAAGATATCCATACAGTAAAATCAAAAACATGAATGCATAGTTTCTTGGAGTAACAAACAATGCACTTCTAACGTTCTTTAATATTTAGAAGTCCCACATTTTCGATATATACTCTTAAGGCTTAACAAGCAACATTTATTTCCTAGAAAGGACTGAAAGTTCTTAGAATACATGGCATTATCAAATTACACAAAGAAAACAAAAATTTGGGATCTATTTTAAATAATATATCAGGACCAATCAACAAATTATATACATTTTAAAAAAGTGCTCATAATAACATAAATAATAACTATGATAGTAATAACTATGATGTGTAAAGAATTCATTTTAATTGAAAGATATATTAAGTAAACTTAAATTAAAGAAAAATAAACAATATGACATGATATGATTTGAAGTTCAGAGTTTTTTTTTTACAAATTTAGGAACATATTTATGCATAAGAATAATAAATGATAAATGGGAGGAAATATAACTTTATCTCCCTATTAAAAATATTCGTTGAAGGCATAAAATTGTTCATAAATAATTGCTATTTTACATATAAAAATAGCATGTACAAAATGGCATATCTACTACCAATGGGATTAAATTTGAGTGTCAATCTAAGTGGAATATATATGAATGATTTATTAAATAAATCCATAGATAAAACAATATTAAATCTGTCTGCATAAATAAATATATAGATGACTTTTATTCATCATAACTGAAAAAAAAAACAATTTAAAGGATATATCAGTTTGCTGGATATATTTAGATAGATAGATAGATAGATAGAAAAAAAAACTTTATTCTGGGACTAAGCCCCTTCAGAATAACAATAATGTACAAAATAATAGAATATTACTGGCCTGAACGTTGAAACAATAAATGAAATTGATAAAATAAAATAAAAAGTAAAGAAAACCTTAGGTGCACAAGCTATATACAATACAGATACAACTATGTACAGAGCATTTAAAATTATGAATAAAACAATTAAAACTATGAACGAATCATTTGAACTATGAACAAAATTATATTTAAGGGTTGAACAACATAAACATACACTTTGAGAAATGAAGAACGAAAAAGAGATACAATGAGTTCATTTCATAAAAAAAAAAACTTTACTTGAATATATATATGAAAATAAACACTTACTTATAATTGAATAAAAAAAAAAAATACAAAAAAATGTGTGTATTGAAATTCCTACGTCGATAGTAGGAAATGCATGTACTATCTCTTACCAAGTGTTATGATTATATGATTGCTACACAATACATATATAATATTAATCGTTAGCTGGTATCTGACTGTTTTTGGAACAGGAATTGGAATAGGAGGTTTTTGAATGTGTACAGGGAAGGGGCATGTCGAATTTTGATCGGGAGGGAATTCCAAAAGTTGACAGAGCGGGCTATAAAGGAATTTTGGAATGAGGCAGATCTATGAGTAGGGATGTATAGGTCAGAGGGTCGGGATCTTGTAGTGAGTGAATGGATTGAGGACTTAAATTGGAGAAGGTTGTAGGCATAAGAAGGACGATGATCGGTAATGATTTGATAAAGGAAAGTGCCAAGGAAATATTGTCTTCTTAAGGAGGGGAAGAGCCACCCTAACTCAGTGTAGTGGTGGGAGACACGGGAGCGTCTCGGGGTTCCGATTACAAATCTTACGAAGCAATTCATAATTCTTTTGAGTCTATCACGCAGTTCCACCGAGAGGCCATCGTACACCACACAGCTGTAGTCAAAGTGGGGAAAGATGAGAGAGGAAACTAGGAGTCTACGGGTATTTTGGGGTAGAAGATGGCGGAAGTGATGGAATAGTTTGAGGGTAGAAATTGCACGGCGGGATATATGAGAGATATGGTGATTCCAGGAAAGGGTTTGATCTATGAGAAAGCCTAAATTTTTAACAAAGGGATAGAAGGTGATGGGGTGGTTGTTTAGATAGAGTGAGGGAAAGTTGGTGTGGGATCTAAGAAGGGGCTTGGAACCAATGAGAATGGCCTGAGTTTTGGCAGCATTTAGCCTTAATCCATTTAAGTTGGCCCAGGCATTAATTCGATCTAAATCTTCTTGAATTATGGCAAATGCCACCAATAACTCAGCGGGAGAAAAGGATAAATAGATTTGAGAATCGTCGGCATAAAGGTGGTGGGAACAATGGATAATTGTATCATTTAGGTCATTAATATAAGAACTGAAAAGAAGAGGAGACATGCTTGAACCCTGTGCAACTCCTGAGGATAAAGGAAGGTAGGCAGATAGAGGTTAATTAGGTATAGAAACTGCTTGGGTTCGTTGTGAGAGGAAAGACTGGAACCAAGAGATGGAACTCTTGGAGAAGGATAATGATTTTAGTTTGTTGAAAAGGATGGAATGGATAATGGAATCGAAAGCTTTAGAGAAATCAAGAAGTATAAGAATGGTTAATTTTTTGTCATCTATTGCAGTCTGGATATCACTAGTAATTTTAATCAGAGCAGATTGTGTAGAGTAGCCAGGACGGAAGCCAGATTGGAGAGGATCGAGTTGGTTGGATTGTTCAAGGAAGTTGGAAACTTGGGATTGCACCAACTTTTCTAGGGGTTTAGAAAGATTGGAAAGGATTGATATTGGGCGGAAATCTTCGGGAGAGGATGGATTAGGCTTTTTGTTTAAAGGAAGGACAATGGCTTTTTTCCAAGAGGTCGGGAATATTGAATTCTGCAGGGAGAAATTGTAGATGAAAAGGAGTGCTGGGAGGATTTCAGGGAGACATAATTTTATTAGTTTGATAGGAATGCCATCTGGGCCTACGGAATTGGAACGGGATTTCATTATAACGGTAATAAGGTCTGTGGGAGAAATGTCGGAAAAATAAAAATTATTGTCGTTAAAAGGTACCTCTGGAGAAAAGCCGGAAGGGGATGGTAACGAAGAGGTGGAAACCGATATAAAGTGGGAGTTTAGGTCATCAGGTGATATTGGGAAAACTGAGGAAGGGGATCTAGAAGGTTCACAGAGGGAAAGCTTACGAAGTAGAAGCCATTTTGATTTGATATCAGGAGCTGAGGAAAGGGCTTCGTGAAAGTAGTTCGCTTTCGCTTGTCGGATCCTTGTCTGTGTCGTGTTGCGAAGCATTCTGAATATTTGATAATCATCTGCAAGCCTAGTCCGTCTGAAGCGTCTGCGTGCAGCGTCGCGTCTCTTCTGCAGATCCTTAATTTCCTGACACATCCAAGGAGCAGGACGATGACGGAAAGTGGAGGTTTTGAGAGGAGCGTGGGTATTGAGTATATTGAGAAGATTGGTGGTGAGAATATCAACCATGGTGTCGACAGAGGAGCAATGATATATTCCATTTAAATCCAATGTTACTAGATCAGGTAATATTTTTTCTCGAGTAAGGGTATCCAGTTGGCGGAAAGTGATAGTTCGAGGATGGATTGGAGGAGTGCGGATATTATACGTTATTTGTATCAGATCATGAGATGAAAGAAAGGATACTGGCACTTGAGAGGCGGAGAGGAGGTTTTGTGCTGAGTCGATGATGTAGAAGTCTAGCCAAGTGTCAGATCTGCTGGTGTGGTGGGTGGAGGAAAAAGGAACGATGAATAGGTGAAGTGAGAAAAACAGATTTTCTAAATAGGATTTGTCATTGGATTTTGAGAGGAAATTGGTATTGAGGTCACCGGAGATAATTATTCTGGGATAGAGGGGAACGAAGTTGAATAGAGTTGATTCGAAGGACGGGTCAAATGGCACGAGAGGAGGGCGATATACCACGGCGTAAATGATAGGAGAAATATTACTGAGAATTTCTACTAAGAGATATTCTACATGAGGATGATCGGAAGATGGGGAGCAATCGAGGATTCGGGTCTTTACGCTATTGTGGACAAACATGGCTACTCCACCGCCAGTCCGGTTTACCCGGTCATGACGGAGCAGGATGTAATTCGGCAAGGATACTGAAGATGATGGAATATAAGGTTTAAGCCAGGTTTCGGATATTGCTATGATATGATAAAAGTTTTGGGTAAAGTATTGCAGGAATTCGTCATAATGGGCAGAAAGTGATTGAGAGTTAACTTGACACGTGATTAGGGAACTAGACATACAGTGGATTTGGAGAGAAACAGTCAGTGTTTGGTAGCGAGAAGACAAAACGAGTAGAAAGTACAGAAAAGCGATTATCGTACATAAAACTAAATGAAGAAAAAGTAATATTAACATTAAAAATAAATAAAGAGAATGTACTTAAAAATAAATAGATTGGTGAGTGACGGTGTCGAGATAGCACTAAGAGAAGAAGTAAGACTATTTTAATGAGGCTAAGGGGTTGACGGCTTCTAGGTAGTCAGTCAAATACATCTAGATCCGAGGCCTGTTCTATCAGGATGACTCTATGTCCGTCCTCTTTTCGACACCGCACCTTTCCGGAAGCAAACCACATATATTTGATTTTTCCCGCCGCTCTCTTCTGCCGGGCTAACCAATAGAGGTGTCTGTTTGTGCGAGTCATCTCTTCACCCAGATAAATTCGGTGGCAGTCATTTAATAGTTATAACAAAATAATAATATTAACAATAGAAAAAACTAGAGATGACAAGTTAAAAATATCTTTAACATAGATGTTTGTAGTGTCTAGTCTGGCGATGGGATAACAAAGTGGATCCCGAAATGTTATAAAAATAAAAATAAAAAATTGGAAGAATAACTATTATATAACTTTTTTTCATATACCTAATGGTGAATGAATATTTATCACAATGCGACAATACATTTATAGTTGAACGGAGAAACTGGAATAGATCGGAAAAGTAAAAGAGAGAGAGGGAGAAATTTAACATAAAATTATAAAAATAAAGGTTTGGGGATCGACCATTTATGTCAACTTTTGGATACACGCGGGAAGTATCGGAAATCCATCTAAAGCGTTCTCAATACGATCTTGAAATCAGTCGACAACATGGAGTAGTGATTCGGAACTAGTAAAAAATCGAATTTAAAAATATTATATTATGCTATTTTAATTGAAATTATAATGCGAAAAAATCTAATGATACAAAATGTTATTTCAGGACGTAGCAGAAGTCGTGAAGAAGGAAATGGATATCAAATTCGGATCTGCTTGGCAATGTGTTGTTGGTCGCGAGTTCGGCATAAATATATCACATATGTACGGATACTTTCTGTTCGTGACGTTGGATAGCCTGGCCATTCTCCTGTATAAAACGGACTAAATATATTTGTTGACATTATGTAAAATATAAAAATTAATACTTTTTTTTTTACCTACATTTAAAATGTTAGTCCGTAATACCAGATCTCTTTTTTATCAAATTATTAACATCAACCTGAAACTTCGTAAATAGCTTCATCCCATTGCAACCTACAAATATTTTATTTACGAAAATTCTCGGGATTGGGGCGTTTTCAATATGGAATTCGGCAAAGTTTGTCTATTTAATTAGGTACTAAAAACTTGTAAATACCCATTTTCTTTCCACTTGGATATAAGATAATTTGATCATAAAATCGAAAAAAAAATGTGACCTACAAAAATATTGGGCCGGTTGTCCTATATAACCTCTTTATTTTCACAAGTAAGGGACGAAGGTCACGCTAAACGGCTCAGTATTTTTTAAGGCCATCTTTTTTTCCTGGCTTTGTATTCAAGTTGTCTTACGATTCAAGTGAAAAACAACTGAGTATTTAAGACTTTTTAGTACCTAATTAAATAATCAAAGTTTGCCGACGTCCAGATTGAAAACGCCAAAATTTTGAGAATTTTCGTAAATAAAATATTAGTTGGCTACAATGAGATAAAGCTATTTACGAAGTTTCAGCCGGATTTTAATAATTTGTTAAAAAGGGGTCTGTACCACGGATTACTATAACAGTGTAGAGATAAAATAGGTATATATTGTAATATCCAGTTTTAATAGTTGTAAAATATAACCAATACTATATAATATAATTTGTAATATTATAATATACACAATACCATCACTACGATATAATTCATAATAACAGTAGCTGTGCCCTGGGTTTAACTCATGTTTCATTTATATTAAGCAATACAACCGAATGCATATAATCAACTGCATTACATAGACAAGTTCTTAAACTCAGCTTGTAAGAAGTTGTCACTGAGCTCATTAATAGAATTAGAATCGTCTCTGAGCTCGACGAAACGATGACATCGATTTGCTCAGCGCCTCAGCGGTATACCTATGCTCTCATAGGTACTCTAGCCATCCAAAATTTATTTACAACAAAAACAAAAGGACTAATCGCTAATAAGGTGAAATCGTATTATACCAATTTGTTTTTTTAAAAACTATTTAGAGAAAATTAAAAAAAAAGTGCTTCATAGTAAGCCATATTTTAATTTCCATTCTCTATATACCGGCTCGAAACTGTTGTAATTCCGAGAATTAAAATTATTCAGTAAACGAAATAAACCATAAATATTTAATTACATGAACTAAATTTTCCGTTCTATATTTATCTCATGTTGAAGATAATAATGTGATGCTTTCAATAACGTCTTAGAAGCTGTGCTGACGTAATAACGCGATAAGCGTTCGGAAGAACAAAAATGGATTTTTTTTTTTGTAATATTGTATTTTGTGGTACTATTTCTGTTTGATTTCGACTTTTCACTTCATTGTGTTTGTGTGGAAACCGTAATTTTTTACCGTAAATATATTTTTTTTTTATTTTATTAATTGAATATTAATACATTCTGCCACATTGAACGGCAATAATATTAGGGCTACAGTGATCATTCACACAATATGTGTTTTACGAATAATAACTAAAATAGAGAAAATAAAGAAAAAGAAATAAAGTAAATAAAATAAGAAAATTAATATACATATGAACAAAAAATGAAATAAAAGATAGAAGCTAAATGAAATTAAAACATATTCACACCTATATACAATATCATAGAAATAAAAAAATATAAACTTCAGTACTCGATTTGCTTCAAAGATTTCTTCGAGGATTATCCGGTTGTCAGATAAATCATCCATGACTCCGATTTTATCCGATCATTTACGATTTTCTCCGAATCCAATGTTAATAAGAACGTTGTGAGGCTGAATTACTGCCCTTCCAACAAATATTAATAATTTTCATATTTTATTCCTTTATGAGGTAGAAATTTTATTTATTTATTTCTGACAATGCGGGGCTCCTCAACACATGACTCCTTACGAGTCATTTTAGCCCTTACACAGCATAATGTGGAAATAAAGAAAAACTTTTATTTATTTTTTCAAATATCATTGGTTTGAATTATTTTTACAGAGTATGGGTTACTGTCTTTTCGTACAGACTTCATGACACTAAATCTCCGAAAATGTTCGTGTGGATCCTGGATTCCTCATGAATTATCAAATTTTTTTTGGTATACTAAAAATGAGCACACATTTTATTGATCGCTTACTATACAAATGAATATTTAAGGATTATTTGAGGTGCAGAAAACAACTACTAACTTTAAATAAATATTTGTACCTACATGTCTACGTCAGGTGGTACTATTTGTTTCAATTCTCATTCTAGGTACAACTGAATCGTACCTCCTCTTGTAATTAGTAAATTATTATTAGCAAATAAAAAATATAATTTCGTTTAAAAAAATTATCCACAGGTATATCTCATTAGATGTGGCATGTTTATTCAACATTAAAAAAAAAAGTAAATATAAAAACAATCACTACTGACTTATGAATTCAGAAGAGACTAAACTGGTGGATGTTTACAGTTTTGATGTGGACCTCACAAGCAAGCGAGCTCTTTCAGAAATCTCATTAAACATTCACAAAGAGAGCTGTTTCTTACCAGTGACGTGTTTGTTTTCCTTTAGATTCAACAGTAAGCAGAGGAATCCTTATTATTTCTTCAAAGTTAAAAGTCTTTTTTTTTCTCTCTCTCTGAGAAGCGGAAGATAGTTAATTAAATAAGATACATTAAAATCCGTAACGGAAATGGAGGGTCTAGTCCCTAAGTGACCATTTTATATTTAATATTATTTATTTTACAAGAAGCACTTTTTTGAAACTTCTAAATATTAAATAAAGTATCAATAATGAATAGAGAAGAATCTATTTTTTTTAAGATCTACTAGATCAAAAATAGGAATTATACAGATTTTTTTTTCCTTTTACTGTAGATACTTCTCAACTAGAGCGTTCAACAAACAAGTTCTGAAATGATTCAGTAGCGGTTTAAATTTAAAAAAAAAGAACAAGCTTCACTTATTATTCTGGAAAATTTTCAGTATTCCAGAATCGTTTCTAAATTCTACAATTGCATTCTACATAAATGTTTCCATGAAATTTTAAAACTGTTTAAATCATTTCTTCGATACCTAATAAATAAAGTCTAGTCAATTTTCTTTTCTTTTTTAGTGGGGGGGGGAGGGAGAGGGTTTACAGACCTTGTAGATAATTTGGGGCATTAACAAAGAAAAAGAAATAAAAGGTGATTCCAATTATTGGCCTAAACATTTTTTTTTTCATCATTTGTAATTTGTTTTTAAAAAAATACCATTACTTCAGCAACACATTCGAAAATCAACAACAACAACAAAAAAGGATATAGCCTTTGCAGTAAGACATATAGAAAACATCTAGAGACCATATCATTGCTTGCATGTTACCTGACCATGTTATCTGCTTGCAGCTTTAGTGCATCTTTGTTGATTCGATCTATACATCGGATTTTAGTCCTTCCATGTCGGTTTTTTCTACCATTAATGCATTCATTGTCATGTAGAGGCTTCCAAATGGATTACTCCGAGATACATGCCTCGTACATCTTAACCTCTTTGCCTTCATATCGTGAGTTATTGATGGATTTCTGTAAGCAGGTCTTTATTGGCCTTTCTTCTTCATGTGTTAGTGCTCTGATCCCAGATCGCTCCGGTTATCCTACGGAGGATTATAGCATAATAGGAACTCCTCTCATTATTCTCCTAGCTTAACTTAAGGCGTACAGAAGCAAATCCCCTTTGTTTGAGGAACAGCTAAATATAATATGAAAACAGGAAAAGAAAATATGAATTCAACAAGAAATCCATTGCAGAAATGACGCAACATATTCTCCTGATAGCAAGCTTTCTTAATAATCCGACTTGACTTTTCCGCTTTCTGACTGAGGTAGTTAGCATTTTGTTTGACCGAACCTTTTTATTTCTTAAATTCCTTGGTAAAGTGGTTGTTTTTTTTTTCTCAGATCAAGCACTAAAGTTACGCAATGGACGAATCATTTATTTATTTATTTTTCATTTCCCAAAATCGGCGGTAAATCATTTATTGTTTGTGTATAAGATAAGACTCGACTTTGGACGAAGATGGAGAGGGGAACTTGCATGAATAAAACATCAGTTGTTTAAGTTATGTAAATTAAAAATCTGTTTCATCCCAAAACATTCTCAAGACTTCGAATACCCAACTCCGTACTTATTAAGTTTTCTGGAAAATTTATGTTAAATACTCTAAAGACATCGAGGTTTTTGTAAAAGCAGTCGGGAGGGAATCCTATGCTAATTTTAATAGATTCTCAGGAACATAGTTATTACAATTCTAATATTTAAGTAGATCAAAGGCAAAGTGTTTCATGAATAAAGTTTTTTTTTTATAATGTCTTATGTTCTACATGTTTTAATTTTTAAAAACGCTATAAATTATTTTACAATGCTTTATTATTTCCAAATCATTATGTATCAACGGTAGTATTATCTTCCTAGTAACAAAGAAAAAGAAATAAAAGGTGATTCCAATTATTGGCCTGAACATTTTTTTTTCATTATTAGTAATTTATTTTAAAAAATACCATTACTTCAGCAACACACTAACAACTAAAAACTCGCCTTTGCAGTAGGACATATAAAAAACAACTAGAGACCATATCATTGCTCCAGAGTATCCAATCTTAACGATTTTTTTTTTAATTTTTAGAAAATTTCGTAAAATCTTAAATAGCAATATCAACAAAAAAGTGTATACGTTTTGAGTTATTCGGATATCTAATTTTATCACCCATTTTAATTTTTTTTCCAGCTAATTTTAGATGAAATATGTTATGTAGATAAATTCAAAGAGGATCGAGAAGAAGACTTTAGAAAAGTTTCATTAAAATTGGTGCATTCGTTTAGGCATATCAGTTATTAGGCGTATTAGTTTCAACATATCATTATTTATTTTCAGCTGTGTTATATTTATATACAAAATATGAGATACAAAAATAATACAAAATATATATATAA